ATAAATTTAGTTAGTACAATGAGGTCTTTCGCAACATAAGGGTTGCCATGTCAGAAACACGTGCATACCCGAGGTGTTGTGCAAGCAATGGGACCGTTTCCCAGAATTGCCATCCCACTCGAATTATCCCATGGGTGGCAATGAAACATTTTTGGAAACGTCCTTCATACTTCCTGATTAGTCTTAATGACATATCACATAATATTACATTTTATTTCCAATAAAAAAAATATTGTAAAAATTTTATAATTTAGTTCTTATAATATCAATTATATAATATATTATTTATTACTTTATATTACAATAATATTTAATTCAGTTATTTAAATTAATTTCATTTTAATTTTACATTTTACATTAATTATAAAGAAATTGTTATAATTAATCTTTTTGTAATAAAAATTTTCTATTAAAATAAAAAAATTACTTAATTATATTATTAATAGACTCCATTCTATTTTAAGAACAAGACAACATCAAAACATAAAATTAATGGAACAGCGATTAAATAAATATGAAATATATCATATTGTATATCATTGAATATTTGTTATAAATATTTCATTGCGATATCTTTTATGAATTAAGAGTTATTCAAAAATGTTGCGAAAATTCTCGATTCGGCCCGTTGTTTTACGACAGTCGTACCGATGAGGATAGCGAAATCTGAAACGGACTTTCTTTGTCCAACTAATGCTAGAAGTCTATTCCTGCATCAGTGATTCCTTGCTTCTCAGTGATGCTTGCATCAGTGATTTTTATAATCCTTTTACTGCGATCAAATTTTATAGTATAAATTTAGTATAGTGTAATATAAATTTTATAATATTTGGGGGTGAGGCTGTCAATACTGTCGCTGGTCCTAACCACTCAGTATCTAATTTATTCGTTTTGTGGTCGTTGTGCACCATTACTTTGTCTCCTGGCTTAATGATAGTCTGAGTCCGCGCGATTCTACCGTCCTGTGTTTTTTTATTTTTTAACTTTGCCTTTTCAGTTATTTTACGCGTCTGAACATAATCGTTATGTCTTACTTTCCAAAGTCTGAAGATTTCGTCGCGTTCTAGGGTACAAGTATTTGCTATAATTGAGGCTGTGTTAGCTTTGTGTCCAAAGGTTAGTTCAAAATAGTAAATCCTTATGCATTACTGTATTATATCCCATTTTGGTCCCATTCATTTTGTCTTTTGGTGGTACATGTTCGAATTAAATTTTTGTTTACAGCGTGTGCTCGTTCTAACGAACCATTGGATTCAGGATGGAAGACGGTGGTTTTATTTTGAAAGCGTTTTCAAACAGTTTCATCAATTGGCAAACAAAATTAAATCCATTAGAATTATCCGTTAGGATAGTTTTTGGTGCTGAAAATATATAGACATAGTGATCCATCAGTTGGGATATTATAGTTTCCGTTACTTGGTTTTTTAGTGGAATTAATACTAGGTATTTCATTAATTGGTCTTCAGTTGAAAGTATATATTGATTTCCTCTTTCGGCATTAGGGAGTAGTTCGATAATGTCTAATACTAATTTGTCGTTTGTATCTGTTATAATGGCGGTTTCTTTTTGCCTAATTCTAGTGAGCTTATGTTGTTGACAGGTCTTGCATCGTTTTACATAATCTGTGACGTCTTGCTCTAAATTGGTCCAGTCGTATTTTTGTTGGATGCATTTTAAAGTTTTGGTCATACCGAAATGTCCGACGGTGTCGTTATCGTTTTCACGCAATACTTCTTTTACTCAGATTTTTCTGTGTTAAGAAAAGTTTCGTTAACTCCAAGGCGTACGTGAGACTCGGATGTCATTTGTTATTTTAACGTACTCTTGCACGAATGTGTGGTCCATATTCGGGACTGCACTGTGTCACAGTCGAGGGCTTTGTTAGGCGTATAACAAAGATCGCTCAGACAGTCGAGGATTTGTGGCGCCTTGGAACTGTTTGGGGCTTAGGCCACTTGATGGGCACAACCCCCTATTGCGGACCTGGGCCCCGGATT